TTATCCCAATGGTCTAGTGGTTAGGATTCTGACAAGCTTCTACTCCAACTCCAACTTGTACCGTCGCTCACCCGGACATCGAGCTGGCGAAGATATCTGGCACGCACGAATGGGACATCCAAGCAACACGGTGTTAAACAACACAATCAGAGCAGGAGTGCTCGACAAAGATTCACTGCTCCTAACCGATGGAAGCGAACTTCGACGAGCTCGTGGAACGTGCTTTACCTGCCCCGAAGCTGACTTACCACATCGGCCGTTCGCTTCTCACCACAACCCCAGCGCACCAGCTTACGCACCACTTGAGAAAATATACAGCGACATCCGGTACAATCGCGAACCTGGACAATGAGCATACAACTACACCATCACGATCATCGACGCCGCTACGAGTTACGTTTGGCACCTTAACCTTCCGAGCAAGGACATGGCTTTCGAGGCCTTTGCCGCTTGGCTCCCAGTAGCAGAACGAGAATCGGGCGTGAAGCTAAAAAGCTTCCAGTCAGACGGAGGAGGAGAATACACCTCATAGAGATTCAAGCAGTAGTTGGCACAAAGAGGGATCAAGAGGCTCATCTCTCTTCCCTACGCTCACCAGCAGCAAGGCGTAGCAGAAAGGATGAATAGGACACTCCAGAACACCATGCGCAAGCTGCTAAGAGGCATGCGACTGCCCAAACACAAGTGGCCTGAAGCAATGGACCACGCTGTCATGCTGCACTACTTGCTCTCATCATAATCGCTCCCGAACAACGCATCACCGCACCTGCTGTGGACAGAAAAACAGGGCAGCACAAAAATGTTAACAGTTTTCGGCTGCATGGTACAGTACCGACCCCCATCTGCACGAGCCGGCCGATTTTCCCAACGCGCACAGTGGGGACTACACCTGGGCATCGAAAGAAATAACAACGCGTGGAAAATTTTCGACGTCCACTCCAAGGAAACAGTAGCAGCACGTCATGTCATTTGCCAACCTGGAAGAAGATCGGGACCCCACAGGTGGTTTCCGCGGTGACCGAGCCTTCGCGTCGGCAGCAGACGAAGCTGACTGGGACGAGCACAACGTGGATGAAGCCTCGTATGAAGCTGGACCTCTCCTTTATTGCTCCGTCGACGTCCCAATGGATGACGAAAACCCTCGCGAAAGCATGAACGCCGAAGTATATTACCACTTCGCCGACAACGGTTACGTTCCACCTGCAGAAGTCAGGTACTTGGTCGACACCGACAACGAAGAAGAACGCATAGAGCCCAACTTCATTTCTGACCTAGAAGCAGGTGATGAAGCAGCTTATCCCGCGGACACAACTCTCCCCCGCTACACGCAGAGTGGCCTCTAGATACTAGGCCTCGTCACCGCGGTCCACGGCACGGAGATTCCTAAGGAGCCTGCCACAGTTCAGCAGGCTCTGGTGGGGGAGCATAGGGAAAAATGGTGTGAAGCCATGGACACGGAACTGAAAGTACTGGAGGAACGCAACACCTAGAAAGTCATTCACATCGGCGTGGCACGAAACGAGACAGTACTCACCGGGAAATGGGTCTTCCGTGTGATGACAAAGGCAGACGACACCATCGACAAGTTTAAGGCGCGCTGGGTCGTACGCGGCTTTGACCAAGAGCACGGACGCGACATCACCGAGACATTCGCCCCGGTCAGCCGACACACCTCACTACGAATTCTCCTCGCGATCGCCGCCATGAAGAAGAAGAAATTGCGGCAAATCGACGTTGCCAACGCATTCCTCTACGCACCTATTGATGCCAAAATCTTCGTCGAACTTCCATACGGCTCCCACGGAGAGCCTAACCAAGTCTCTCAGCTGCTAAAATCCATGTACTGCATCAAACAAGCTCCAAGGTTGTGGCAGCAGTCTCTGCACGCAAGACTCATTCGCATTGGATTCCGCCAACTACCTCACGACCAAGGCATGTATCGGCTCACAAAGGGCACCAACTACATCCTACTGATTGTCTACGTGTACGATTTGCTCTACATCGGCTCGACCGACAACGTCACCACCTGGTTCGAAGGGGAACTACAGAAGGATCTCACACTCACGGTCTTGTCTTCCGTCACGCAGTACCTCGGCCTTAACATTCAAGAGGAAGAAGACGCGATCTATCTCAACGCCGCGAAATATGCCGACACTATCGCCAAACGCTTCGGACTCACCCCGATCACCATCTCCATGCCATACCGCTACACCGCAGGAAATAACAAGGAAGGATCCACGCCGCTAAAGCCCGCCGGCATACGTGACTACCAGAGAAAGCTGGGATGTCTCCTCTTTGCCGCTGTCACCTGCCGTCCGGATCTATCGTACTCCGCAAGTCAACTCTCCACCTACGTCAAGAAACCTGAAGCAGAACACATGGCGGAACTCGATCGCGCTCTCCACTACCTCGTTAGCACCCCGACCGTCGGCCTAACCTACCACAAGAACGGAACTACAACACCTAAATTAATCGGCTACGTCGACGCCGGTCACGCTGGTGACTCCGTCAACAGGCGCTCACGCACCGGCTACATCTTTCGTCTCGAGCCCATCGGACCTATCTCCTGGCAGTCGAGCAAGCATAAACTAATTGCTCTTTCCTCAGCTAAAGCAGAATACATCGCACTCTGCTCGGCCACTAAGGAAGGACTGTACCTCCGCGAACTACTGGAAGAAGAGAAAATGCCCCGGTTACCCAGCTTCTCCCTATTCTGCGATAACCAGTCAGCAATTCGCATAGCCAACAAAAATGGATTCGCGAACAGGACGAAGCACATCGCCCTGCGATATTTCTTCGTGAAGGACAAAATCGAGAAGGGGAGACTCGAGATGTCTTACTATCCCACGTCCGAGATGGCAGCTGATTACTTGACCAAGAAGCTCAGGAAGCAGAATTTCGAGTACTGCATGCTGCTGACTGGACAAAGCCACGTCACCAGCAGCGACACTCCAGAAGCGAAGGGGAGTGTTGGAAACAATTGATTTAGCGCCTCTGTCGTGTCGAAACACCAAGTCAGAAGCGAAGCGAAACATATCAAAGCATTAGCGAGTCAACCCTGGAAGGTTGAACAAATGCTGGAGGTTACGCGAAAGTCAAAGGTCAGCGACCTTTGACCAGACAAGTACAGCGCGACAGCAAGGACAAACAACTGACTCGCTATTGAGTAGTTGCCCGAGTCGTCACTGTAACGAACCGCAACAACAATAGTAAAACGGTTATTAACTGTATCTCTTCGCATTCCTTGTACTCTTATAAAAACTTGTATCTCTTTGTTTTAATCAATCTACTTTGCCCTCATGTACCAGCGCAAGGTGGTTCACAAACTTCTCATTGAAACGCTTCCGCTATTACATTGTCCTACTCAGAATTTAGTCTTGCAAAGATGCTAAGGGCTTTTTCTCAGCCCAACAGAGTAGGTGTAGTACCGGGAGAGCCGTTAGAGGAGCTTCTCTCCTTCTGCGTTGCCATGCCTTCTGATGTTGTAGGTGTCTTGGAAGTAGTTGAGTTTGCACTGATAGCTCTGATACCATGTTGGGCTGAGAAAGGCCCTTAGGATCTTTGCAGGACTAAAATCTGGGTAGGAACAATATAATAGCGGAAGCGTGTAGTGATAAGTCATTGAACCACCTTGCGCTGGTATGTGAGGGCAAAGTAGATTGATTAAAACAAGGAGACTCAAGGTTTTTATAATAATACAAGGAATATGAAGAGATACCGTCACCCCCCGGATATAAGCGCCACCCTGGGATAAGCGCCTGGCGCTTGTAATTGGCGTATGGTGCTTATATCCCCTCCTCGATTATAAGCGCATACCCAAATGGCTTACGGATTATAAGAGCCACCATTTGTATTAGTTTTTAAAAAGTTACTGGAATCTCTGTAATGAAACACACTATTTGCATCACGACATTTTGAAATTTCGGCCCTCACCCTCGCGCGACTTACTGCCTCACCCTCGCACGACTCACTAACTGCGCGTCCAGTCAGAATGAGTTGTCATGGGGCGAAATGACTCATTATGACCGTGTGTGTTGGCAGCTTGCAAACTTACGCGAGATTCTTGTTTACAACCCTCTCGGATCTTGACTCGATTGAAATCGCAATGACAAGATGAACACTTTGGAGTGAAAACAACTAGATTTCATATATGTCATAATATAAGACCCTGCGCTTGTAAATATCCTCGATTACCTATAAGCCCACCCCCCTACAAAAACATGTTTTGTTATACCACCCCATGGGGGCTTATCCGGGGGGTGACGGTACAGCTAATAACTGTTTTACTGTTGCTGCTGCTGTTCGATATAGTGACGACTCGGGCAACTGCTCTGTATCGACTCAGTTGTTTGTCCTTGCTGTCGCGCTGTATTTGTCAAGTTAAAGGTCGCTGACCTTTGACCTTCGCGTAACCTCCAACAGTTTCTTCAGTTGTCAACCTCCGATGGTTGACTCGCTGATGTTTCGTTTGTGCTTTGCTTTGTTTAAGACTTGATGTTTCAACACAGCAGAAGCGCTTAAATCACTTGTTTCCAACATTCTTTTGCCCGTTTCTCATTAAATAAAATACAATAGTATAGATTCTATGATGGTTTTTCTCAACCATTGTGATGTGTCGACGTGACAGGGCACGGCGCCCGCCGTCCACAGAAGCAACAGCGGCAGAACCACGAGCAAGTGCAAATTGTAATTAATATAGCGGCCAACTTCCGTCATGTCGTGTTCTGATTGTCTATGAGATGGCCTTAGCATTACAGTAGCTGCCATCTATAGCACGGGCAGGATGCACCGGCTGCAATGCTTATAGGGTACTTCAGCTTCTAGAAATATGCATTCGATATTTGATATGTTCACATCATGTCCGGAATTCCATGAGGGAACATCACAAATGCACGGAATGCCACTTACTGAGCTGCTGGCATTTGTGGAGCATCTGTGATGTTCCTTCTCGGATCACAACACGATCACCTCGTGCATCCATCTCCTATTCCCCTTTTCCGTCAGAACCTGCCACCAATGAGTTTTCCCGACAAGCTGCTGCTGGAGCCCGCGAAGCCAATGTAGAGCTGCCCATTGATGCTCGCCTCGATGGCGCTGAGCACGGGCGCCAGGTCCGCCGGCGCGAGAGTGAGCACATTGGCCAGCGACCACGACACGGAGCTCAGCAGCTGCCACGTGCCGGGCAGCTGCAGCGCCACGGGTGGGGCTGCATGGCCGCACGTGCTGTTACCGCTATAGATGGCCGCCGCCTGCGGTGCCTCCGCCATGCCTGTCGCCACCAGCTGGTATGCCACTGCGTACGCCGAGCCCCTGCCGTGAGGAGAGGGAGGGGGGGGGGGGGGTTGGGATATTCATTTTCAGTACTTAGCTGGAGGGTACTAGGCGGAACAATTGTGAGAGTCAGAGCTGATGGCAGTGGCAGTAATATTGTGGAATGAATCATGCGGCGATGACGTCAGGCAGGAATGAGGAGACTGAGGAGCCGTGGCTTACATTTTGGTGATCTGGATGTTGGCTGCTCCCACCGGGAGAAGGCCCTCGCACGAGGTGAGCACGCCACGCAGCATGCCTGCAGTGATGGGAATCATCAAGAGAAGCAGTAGAGATTTAGCCCAAGGGCAGCAGCAGATGATGCAACAAAGAGCAGCAGCAAATGGTGCAACAAAAAGCAGCAGCACATGGCGCAACAAAGTGCAGCAGCAGATGGTGCAAGAATGAGCACAAGCATAGTCGGGGCACATCAACAGTGGGGTTTGCGGGGTTAGGGTTTGCGGGGTTGGGATGCGTGGGGGGTAGGGTTTTCGAGATTAGGGTTTTCGGAATTAGTGTTTGCGGGGTTGGGGTTTGCGGGGCTGACCTACTGGGTGCGGCAGCAGAGCCACGAGGTCCGCCACACCAAGGGCGTCACTCAGCGGGGCGATCAGCGCGTCCACCTGCGCAGCGAGCGCCGACACGTCCAGATTCAGTGCACCCACCCTCTCACTGAGCGCCGCCACTCGCTGACTCAGCAATGCGCGGAGGTTGGGGAGTGAAACAGCCACTAAGCTGTTTTGGCAGAGTAGTAGTAGTAAGATAGCTTTACAAGAGATCATATGATGGCATACATTTCAGAGATGCATCCTAATATACTAGGATACTAGCATGGGCGCCTCGAGCTGGTCGCTCAGGTCGCCATTATTATTCCTAGAGCTAACAACAGCAAGGCATAGTCACTATGATTATTTACAAGAGATACTAGCCTTGTTGTCATATCCTAGAACCAATAAGCATAGCCTAGGAATTCACTAAACACATGGGCAGAGACTATTTGTCTTATTGTCGTCCACACTATAGTACATAATGATGATCATGAGCACCGTTGGAAGTAGCCATAGCTGTAGGAAGCGATGCTTGCTTGTGCTGTCAATTGCTTTGTTGCGCTGTTGGAGTTCTCTGCCGTGTTGTGTCCAGCACTAGCGTGCTCTCTGGAAATGTTCCCAAGGTTGGAAACTGAGAATTACGAGCCGCACAATTCAATGTTGGATTCCAACATTGAATTCCCAAAATGTACTTAGGGCGTGTTCCGAATTCTGGTTCGGATCACAAGGAGCTGAGTTGGCGAAATTGAGGGAGGCGAGATCGCCTTCGTCTTGTTACATTACTCCCCTCTCCAGCAAGCACCGTCCTCGGTGCTTGAGCAGATGCAAGGTAGCTCTGAAGGGCTCTCTGGGCATTTTGAAGGCTTGTCTCGGGTATCCAGAGGTTGTGAGAGGAGTCTTTCCCACGCCACTTAACAAGGAAGTAAGTGCCACGAGGAGAGGTTTCATGGGACAGAATTTTCTCAACCTCAAAGAGATCAGGGTTAGACGTGAACATAGGAGGTCGAGGAGGCAGAGGTAAGAGGGGAAAGTGGGCTGGAGGAATGTGGTAAGGTTGTAGGAGCTGAACGTGAAAAACAGGGTGTATGTTGATGTGTGGTGGAAGTTTCAAGGGATAGGTGAGAGGAGAGAGAACTTGGGTGATGGTGAAAGGGCCGATGAAACGAGGTGCAAGCTTACGAGTGAGACCTTTCTGCAGCAAGGGAAGGTTAGTGGTGGAGAGAAGGACTTGGTCACCTACGTGGAACTGAATGTCACGACGGTGTTGATCGGCGTACCGGATCATTCGGTGTTGGGATTTGAGCAAGGAAGCGCGTGCTGCTGCAATGGTCTTTTCCCGAGTGGAGAGGAATTCGGCTGCTGGTTTGGTGTCACTACTGCGTGCGAGAGAAGCCGGTGTGCGGGGCTGCTGCCCTGTAGCGAGGAAGAAAGGGGTTTGTCCCGTGGCGAGGTTCACCGTGTTGTTGTAGGAGAATTCGATTGATGGCAGGTGCTGGTCCCAATCGTTTTGCCGTGCACTCACGCATGCACGCAGGGCATCTTCAAGGGTTCGGTTCATCCTCTCGGTCTGCCCATCGGACTGAGGATGGTAGGCAGTGGAGAGACGAATCTTGGTGCCCAATCTGTTGAAAAGGGACTGCCAAAATCTGCCAACAAACCGAGAATCACGGTCACTGATTAGTACGGAAGGAATGCCATGGAGGCGTACCACCTCGCTGAAGAAGAGATCAGCAACGTTCTCAGCTGTAGCGGTGGTGGAGGTAGGGAGGAAGTGTGCCATCTTGCTGAGTTTGTCTACCACTGTGAGGATAGCGTTGTGATGGGAGGAGGTGCGGGGCAGATCTGTGATGAAATCGAGTGTCACATGAGTCCATGGGAGTTGAGGGATTTCCAGAGGGTGTAGGAGGCCGTAGGGTGCAGCGTTGCGAGCCTTGTTGCACTGGCATGTGTGGCAGCTGCGTACGTAGGAGCGGACATCTCGAGAGAGCTTGGGCCAGAAGAAGTTGGAAGAGATGGCAGCAAGTGTTTTGTCCACTCCGAAGTGCCCATTCTGGTCATGATGCTCGCGTAGCAGGAGGTGACGAAGCTTGCGCTCTGCGGGGACGCAGATGACTCGGGAATCTGCCTTATACCAAAAGGGGGATTCGTAGAAGACAGATTTATCATCAGCAGCAGAGTAAAGATAGAAACGGTCACGACGATACCCTTTGGTGAACTTCTTGATGAAACTTTCGTCCCATGTGACGCTTCCGATGGTGGTGAGATGAGGTTGAGGAGGCCGGGTCAAGGAATCAGCAGGGTTGAGGCGGCCAGCGCGGTACTCGATTTTCAGCTCCGGTACGTACTGTTCCAGGTACTCCATCCATCGGGCCTGCCTCGGGGTGAGATGGGGCTGCGTCTTCAGGTGTTGCAGGGTGCAGTGATCGGTTAAGACAGTGACGGGCTGCATGTGAACATAGCAGCGCCACTTCTTGATTGCATGGACGATGGCCAGCGCCTCGCGATCGTGAGTAGCATAGTTGCACTCGGCAGGTTTGAGTTTCCGGGATTCGAAGGCGATAGGCTAAAGGCCATGCCCTTGATCTTGAGAGAGAATTGCACCCGTTGCAACCTGAGACGCATCTGTCCATATCACGTAGGGAAGGGAGGGGTTGGGTAGGGCTAAAGTAGGAGAAGAGGTTAGTGCACACTTGAGAGCATTGAAGGCAGTTTGCTGGTCAGAGTCCCAATGGAATGGTTCAGTTTTGCGAAGAAGGTTGGATAGGGGAGAGGAGATGGCAGCAAAGTGTCGAATGAACTTGCGGTAGTAGTTGGCAAGACCAAGGAAGGCTTGCACTTCCTTGATAGAGGTTGGCTCCTTCCATTCCCTGATGGCAATGACATTGGAAGGGTCCATAGCAAGCTGGTTGTGTGAGATGATGTGGCCTAGGAAAGGAATCGAGGGCTTGGCAAACTCACACTTGCTCTGTTTGGCAAAGAGACGATGCTCACGAAGCCGTGTGAAGACTTGCCTTAGATGCTCGGCGTGTTCCTTCAAGGATTTGCTATAAATCAGAATGTCATCGATGAAGATGATGACAAACCGGTCCAAGAAATCCCGAAAGACACTGTGCATCAAGGACATGAAGGTGGCAGGGGCATTCGTTAGTCCGAAAGGAAGTACGAGAAACTCGAAATGCCCATACCGTGTTCGAAAGGCGGTTTTCTCGATGTCTTCATCAGCGATACGCACTTGATGGTAACCGCTTCGTAGGTCCAGCTTGCTGAAAATTGTGGCCTCACCAAGTTGATCAAAGAGTTCTTCCACTCGCGGTAGCAGGTAGAGATTCTTGACGGTGATTTTGTTGAGCGCACGGTAGTCAACGCACATGCGCATGCTGCCATCTTTCTTTTTGACGAAGAGAATCGGTGCTGCATAGGGAGAGGAGCTGATGCGGATGAAGCCCTTCTCAAGAAGCTCCTCCAACTGCTTCTGAACTTCTTTCAGCTCGGCAGCGCTCATCCGGTACGTAGCACGAACGGTTGGTTCAGCACCGGGTTGCAAGATGATGCGGTGATTGATGGCACGCTTGGGAGGAAGTGAAGAAGGAAGATCAGCAGGGAAGATGTCTTTGAACTCATTGACAACCTGTTGAATTTCAGAAGGGATTTCAGCAGCCTTGGGAGGGGAACGGAGAATAGGAGTTTCTGAAATTTGATTCAAAAAACAGAGGAAGAATTGAGAGCTTGGGTCCTTGAGCGATTTTTTTAGTTGCCGTTTTGAGAGGAGGTTGCAACAAGTGGGGGTAGAGGAGGAGGAGGAGAAGGTAGGTAAGGAGATGTCTCTTCCAGAGTGAGAGATGGTGACGGTTCCAAGGGTCCAATCAATCTTGGGGTTTTTAAAGGAAAGCCAGTCACGTCCAAGAATCACTTCATGGTCTCCAAGAGATGCTTGCTGAAACTGAATTTTGTCTCTGTAAGGTCCAATGGTGCATGAAACAGGAAATGGTACTCGTCCGCATGAGATCGAGGTTCCGTTCGCCATCAACACTGTTTGAGGTAGGGAATCAGTTTGAGTTGGGAGGGAAAGCTTGGAGAGTATAGAGGAGGAGATGAAGCTAGAGGAAGCACCACTGTCAAGTAGGGCTTTCACTTTCTGACCGCGAATCAGCATAGAAAGGAGAAGGGGTTCAGAGGGGTTACGGCTTTCAAGAGAAGAGATAGTGGGGCAGGTATAGTCACCAGAAAGTTGCCCCGAGTTTACTGGCGGCTTGAGTTTCCCGGCGTTGGAAGGATGTGGGGGCAGATTGTTGCGCTGGCGGCATACTTTCTAGATGTGCCCTTTCTTGCCGCACTTGTAGCATACGGCGACAGGCCTCGGGTTCCTCTTCCTCTTCTCCATCAGGTCCAGGTCCATAGGTGCAGGTTCTTGCAGATTTGAGTCCGTTGGAGTAGAGGGCTGGTAGGAGGGAGCAAACGGGAGGAACGGGCTACGAGGAAAGCGAGGCTTGTTGTATGCATAATGGACAGCATCATACCGTTCAGCCACGCGTATCATTTCCTCGAGCGTAGAGCAGTCCCTCAGCTCGACCTCCATGCGCACGTTCGTTTTCAGCCCGCGCTTGAAACGATCCATCCGTTCAGCATCGGAAAGGTCCAGGATCTCTTGAGCGATGTCACGGAAGCGAGAAGCATATTCTTGATCAGATTTGAGCTGCTTCAGAGTAGCCAAGGAGTCTCGTGCTCAGATGTTCGGGTTCACCGGTTGAAAGGTAGCATTGAAGACTTGCTTGAATTGATCCCATGACTGGATGGTCGCATGCACGGATTGCCACCAAGTGATAGCAGATCCACGAAGAAAGTCCGCCAGTGAAAGCAGTCCACTCGGCAGGAACTATGTGACTTAGAAGCAGGTATTGCTCAACAAGAAATAGCCAACGGCTCACGACAGGTTGGTTTCTCCCGGGAAAGAAAAAATCAGGAAGAGCGGGTCTAGCGCACTGATTTCCGTCTCGCGGTGCAGCAGGGCTCGAGGTTGCTGCCGCCACTCCAGCTGTAGCTACACTAGCTTGCATCTCTGCTTGCAAGCTCTCTTTGACTTCAGCAACACGTTGGGCTCGGTACGTTTCCAAGTAGCTGGCCCATTCATCACGAGAAGGTACCTTACTAGTCGTCATGACGCTGTTCTCAAGAAAAGGAGGGTCGAAGATAGCTCGGATACCAAATGAAACAGCCACTAAGCTGTTTTGGCAGAG